TTTTTCAACCTCTAATATATTATAGGGTTAATTGCGCACAGATCCTCTACAGTATCATTGTTTTGAACATAGGGCCTCTGTAATTTCATTGATACTTTTTTTTTATTTATTTTCATTTTTGACTCTTTTACCTTCTGATATGATATTTTGATAGATATTATTGCCTCTTGGTAAAATTAAGGAGGCTTTACTTTTGTATATATCTTGAACTAGGTGGCATTTTAATTGGTCTTGAAAGCTCACAAAACATATATATGTTTTCTTTCTAAATTTCTAATAGCTCAAACCTTTTGGCATGATCTCACAAAAGAAGATCCCACACCAACCAAACACAAACACTTTATCATATTACCATCAGAATTAAATTTAAAACTAGGACTCTCTTGAATCAATGATACTATCTAAACACAATCCTTGTCATTAACCAAACATTAAGCTCAAAGTCAAACCCAAAAATGGGCATTCACAATATTTTTTGAAGTGTATGGTCCCAAGAGGCATTCTATTTGTATATTAGTTTCTTATTCTAAAATGCAAATATGCTAGTTTTAATGTATGTGTGAACACAATTTTGGATCTGTTGAAATAATGAGATGTGATGAAGGTCCACTCGTTTTTGTTAGTGCAATAGGTCCTTTCCCATGCCTACTCAAACTTCGTATTATTCTTCAGTGCCAGCCTTTTATATGTTTTTTAATTCTTTTTTCTTTTTGGAAATTTTGTCAAATTCACGAGGATGGATATGTTTCAATCATAATCTCACGTGAGATAAGAACCAATCAGCATATCGTACGGCCATGTACAAAGCTACTTGAAATTATGGTCGCATGTTGCATTAAATACTCCTTAACAAATTATCCTAGCAAATTGCAAACCCATACAAATGAATATGGCTGTCCATTTTACCCGCTGGCCCGCGCCCGGCCCGGAAAACCGGGCCAGGCCGGGTTCCGGGCCCGGGTCCGGGTGGCCTCAGCGGCGCCCGGCCCGGGCCCGGCCCGGCCCGGTACAGTGCGCCGCCGGGTCAACGCCCGGGCCGGGCAGCCCGGGACCGGAGCCCGGCCCGGGTGGCAACGGTCACCAGTGGTGACCGTTGCCGGAATTAGGCCGGGCCGGCCACAACGGTCACTATTGGTGACCGTTGTTGTGAAAACGACGGCCGCGGCCCGGGGCTGGCGGCCGGCCACAACGGTCACCAAAGGTGACCGTTGTGGCCAAAACGACCGGGCCGGCCCGGCCCGGATTCAACGGTCACATAAGTGACCGTTGTGGCCGGCCCGGCCCGGTAACAACGGTCAGATTGGCCCTTTGACCGTTTTGCCCTCAAAAACGGTCAAAAAACGGCTATTTTGTGAGGTTATTTTGGTCATTTACCTAGGGGCTGGTTCTATAAATAGAGGGGGGTTTTCATTTGTTTTCTTCACACCAAAAACTCATCTCTTCTCTCTTATACTCTTATACTCTCTCTTATACTCTTATACTCTCTTATTTATACTTTCTAATCCAATCCCCAAATGGCTTCCGGCTCTGATTATGAAGAGCAAAACATATCTCCCGTTCCTGAATTGAGTCCTCCTACTATGAGTCCTCTTACTATGAGTCCTCCTACCGAAGTTAATCTCGAATCCGGTGGCGACGAATCTGCACCAAGAGCTCCTAAACGGCCAAGATCCGATGTGTGGAATTTTTACGAGAAGATCGACGTCACCAAGGATGTACACGGTAGGATCCTCACCCAGAAGGCTAAGTGTGCTTTGTGCGGCAAGATTTTTCAAGCTCATCATAAGAGCGGCACCAACCACCTCAAACGCCATTTAGATAAACACAACAAAGGCCAGCCTCCTCAAGGTGATATCCGACAATCCATGATTTCTCAATCCTCCTCTTCTGGTAGTCTCGGTAGTTGGAACTATGACGCTGCCAGAGCCAGGAAATGCGTAATCAGGTTTATCATTCTTAAAAACCTTCCTTTTAAATTAGTAGAAGATGATGAATTTGAAGATATGTTTAGAGATGGTTTTTATCCTGCATTTAAAAAATTTTCTCGTCAAACCTGTCAACGTGATATTTTAAAATATTATCAGCAAGAACAAGAAAAAATAATTTCTTATTTTAAAAATTTAAACTGTAAATTTTCTTTAACTTCTGATATTTGGACATCTAGAGCACAAACTGGATATTTATGTATCACAGCACACTGGATTGATGAAAATTGGCAAATGTTTAAAAGAGTTGTTTCTTTTATTGCAATAGAAGAGTCACATACTGGTGCTAATGTTGCAAATTTAATAATTGAAGAACTTATGAAATTAGAAATTTCACAAAGAATATTTTCTCTTTCACTAGATAATGCAAGTAATAACAATGTAGCTGTTGATTTTATCAGATCATCTTTATCATTGCCATGTCATGGTGATCTTTTTCATATTAGGTGCATCTGTCATATTTTAAATTTAATTGTTCAAAGTGCATTTACTGAAATTAAACCCATGATAGAAAAGGTTAGAACAGTTGCTTACATGCATAGTGCTTCTGAACAAAGACTTAAAAGATGGAAACAATTTTGTAAAAGAAAAAATGTAAAGCCTAGACTAATTCCAAAAGATGTTGACCATAGGTGGAATTCCACATATGCAATGTTAAGTGTAGCAATAGAATATAAAGACATTATAACTGATTTTATAAACTATTATGCTTCTAGTTCTAGTTCTGGTAGCACTTATGGAATAACTGAAGATGAATGGACAGTTATATGTAATTTAAATGAAATGTTACAAGTTTTTTATGATGCTACCATGTTATTATCTGGCTGTTATTATCCAACCATTACTTTAGCTGCTTTACAAAATTTAAATATTCAAAATTTTTTTGATAAATATCGTATGGATGCTACTTTTGGATCTATGGTTTTTGAAATGGACAGCAAATTTAATAAGTACTTTAGGCCTATTCCTCATATTTTTGGTTTGGGGGTTCTTATTGATCCATGCTTGAAGGATATTGGCCTTCGAAGTTTGTTACAGTCATTGTATGGTGGACAGGTTATAGACTTAGATGATGGAACCACCCTGAATGCTACTACTCATCATTTACTTATTAGAAATTATTTTCAAACTTTATATGATGAGTATGCAGCTAGACATGGTGTAGCTGCACAACAGTCTGCAGCTTCGGTTTCTTCGAGCTCATCCCGAGCCCGAAGTAAAAGTGTATGTTTTGATAGGTATGCAATGGTAGCCGAGCTAACTGGTGGATCTGGACTTGGATCGTCATCATCGGAGGTTTCTGAAATAGATGAATATTTTTCTGCTTCTTTAGTTAGATGTCAAGGAAATGCTTTAGATATTTTGCAATGGTGGAAAGTATATGGATCAGTTTCATATCCTATACTTTCCACCATGGTTCGTGACTTACTAACAGTGCAGGTTTCGACGGTAGCTTCGGAATCCGCCTTCAGCACAGCAGGTCGTTTGATCGACGATCACAGGACATGCTTGGATCCATATACTGTACAAGCGGTGATGTGCCTACAAGATTGGTGGAGGTACGAGAAGCGAACGCAAGGCATCGATCGGATGGCTGGAATTGAAGATAAATTTGAAGAATTGGGACTAGCAGATAGATATAAAGAATAGATTGTAGTTTTTATATCTTAGCTTACAATTTGTAAAGGAAAATCACCCGGGCCAGCCCGGAACCCGGCCCGGTCGGGCCCGGGCCCGGGCCCGGACCCGGCCCGGTGTACCCGGGTCCGGGTCCCGGTTTTGCCCGGCCCGGGCCCGGATTTTCGGGCCGGGCCGGGCCGGGCCGGGCCGGCTCGGATGGACAGGCCTACAAATGAATACCTATTTTCAGGTATCAAGTGCTCCTCAGCTCGTAGCTTTAAATTTGCACTAAATAAATATTAGTTATTGAATCATTAATTTCCGGATTTATATACAAAATTAAGGATTGACATCCTTTGAAGACGCATTTAGGCCTATCCATTCGGCCCGGACCGGGTCCGGACCGGTTTTTTTTTGTTATTTAAATTTTTTTAATTTTTTCAAGAATACAAAGCAAAAAATAAACACAATTTTGATAAAAAAATTATATTATTAATCAATTGTAATTATGTAATTTACAAATATAAAAAATTATAAAAATTAAAATGAGATAAAATAATTGAAGAATTTATAGAAACAAACAAAATTAAAAATAATTGTAGCTAGGACCTTTGCCTTTCGAGGGGAGGGGAGGGGAGCTCCGATCTATCTTAAGTCTCAAGGGGTATGCCTTTTTGGGAACTCCATGACAGTTGGGAATAGTCTTAGGCCCAGCAGCAGTGGTTCTTATTCCTTTGGACAGACGATGTTAGGCAACTAGTCCCAAGCAACTAAGTGTAAAGTGGACGAAGTTCTTTACATGCTTTTCTAGTGGAGCTTACACCAAGATCAGCAACAGGTTTTCCACCAAATCCATGCGTGGAACGAAATTCGCCTTTTTTTGTTGTTGAGACGATGTTGAGGAAATCATGAATGTTTGACTGATTTTGGGTGTGAGCGAGGGTTGCTCACTTTTGGGCTGCCGGTGAAGTTCGTCGATTAACGACGCTCGCCAACTGCCAAAGTTCGTCGTCTGGCGACATTCGTTGATTAGCGAAGTTTGTTGACATTCATCTATGGATTTGCACCGTGATTTATGGTTGAGTTTTCTTGATTGAAGATCTCGCGAGATCCGTTGTGAATTTGACTGAGTTTTAGACTAAGTTTTAGCCTCTTTGTTCGGTCCAATCAAATCTCAAAAGATGTGATTTTCTTGGGAGTTAGAATTTGAAAGAGGCTATAAATAGTAGCCGTCCCC